GACAAACAGAAATCTCCTACAGCTGGAAGTTAGAGCAGTTGAAAGAGATGAAAGGTGAACATATTATCCCACCTATTTTTTCTTGTAGAATGTTGGGTTTTGTGACAGCACGTTTCCTGATCTGTCATCAACTATGGGCTCTACCACCTCAGAGGATGACTCGAACTGAACTCTTGTCATTCTAGAAAGAGAAGAAGAAGAAGACAAAGTTCAGCCAATTCTCCGAGGAGAAAGGCTCGAGGAGCTCTAAAACCCATTTACAAGACGATCTCTATGATCCGTGTCTGATGGATAAGAAAGCGTTAGACTTTCACTTAAACAAACATTGAAATCGGAGACATATCTAGCTTCCATGTGTATGGCCGTTATGTTCCTTATCATATTTCTTTCAGTCAACTAACTATGAGTTTGATAATAGACATAACCGTAGTCACAAAGTTATCATGTTTTATTGACCGTTTTAGACAAATATTACTGTATCAGCTGATGTTGCTACTACTGTTTACTTGTCCTAGTAATGATATTATTGATGATAACAACAACAATAACAAAAACATGATGACGATGATGATGATAATAATAATAATAATAATAATAATAATAATAATAATAATAATAATAATGATTATAATAATAATAATGATAGTAATAATAATAACAATCGTAATAATGATAATAAGGTGTTAATAATAACAATAACATTATTATTTATGATCATGATGATGGCAAAGATAGGGTGCTTTGTGTAGCCTAAAACGAGCTGTAATCATAATGGTTGTAAACAAAAATTATGAAATTATCTTTGCACGCATGGACTGACATTGTGAACCCACCAACGAGGCAATGGATTGTTCAGATGATGATGATTAATAAGTAAGACATCTACTACTGTCATTAACCATCTTGAGACGTAATCCGGAATCCGCTCACGGATTTCTGGTAGGATAACCGCTATCCGGGAGTCGCGCGACAATTAAGGTATATTGTTTTGCATTTACACACGGGTCATTTCGAGAGGATAAAGCCGTTGTACGATTAATTATTTTTTCTGTTTTTTAACTAAAAGCTACTGAAATTATGCAAAACTCTATTTTATGACATAACGATAGAGATATTTTTTATGATCTATTTTAAGTTTACGTGGCTTGATAACAAAATAAATAAAACAGGTACAAAAGGTAGAGGGTACTCAAGGATGACGTCGAATATGACGGATATTTTGCTTCACTCGACTTCAGATTTTATTCTTTCAACTAACGGTATGTGACATGTTCAATAACTTCCCGGAGAACCTGCCCCCCCCAATCTTCAGGAATAGTTGTTTTGATGTTGAGTATATGTTGAGGGGAAAAAAGAGTTTCAACGTTCAGTGTTTTTCATTATAGGGGTATAAATTAAATATGTTTCAGATAAATTATTCCCTCTAAAACCAACAGAGACTAATGCGAAATGATCTCTGCATGCCAACTTTTGGCCATAAAGTCGGGAAATGATTTATTAAGAATAATTTCCAGGATCGAAATATTCCTAATGATATGCAACATTCTAGCTAAGTTCCGGAAGACCATGTTACTCGAAGCTATGAAGATAGCTTCAACATCAATTAAACGTATTCCAACCCCATCTTTATATCTTCATGTTTCTGAGAGATGGTGGGAGGGAGAATTCATTTAGGCAGTATGAGTGCGCACATCTTGAAATGTCACGTTTATAATTTTACCAAGACAAGCATTTTGTGCGCCATGTAATCATGGTGCAGCTGTTAATTGTGGCATGGATTGACCAATTAGCGCATTCCCCCTATGAATTTCCTATGAATTTAAAAGCGAATGTGTGCGTGCGCGAATGTGCGTACATGGGAGGTGGGGGAGGGGGAGGTGTATGTGTGTGTGTGTTCGTGTGTGTGCGTGTGTGTGCGTGTGTGTGCGTGTGTGTGTGTGAGAGAGAGAGAGAGGGAGAGAGAGAGAGAGAGAGAGAGAGCGAGAGAGTGTGTGTTTGTGAGTGAGTGCGTAGGCGGGTGCATGTATGTATTTATACATGTACGGCTTTATACATTCGAGTACGCGCTTTACTACTTATGTGTATTACAAACAAGACTAATGCGACGAGTCTTCTCCTAATATGTCTCCGCCCTACATTCGGTATAGAACATCGAGTTATTTGTGGCAAATCACGATGAACAAAAAATCCTATAATCAAATTTCAACTGATGACTATGATCTGGACCTACTATAGCCCTTAAGTGTAGATTTTGCGTTAGAAAGGATAAGGACCTCTAATTTCAGAAATTGATTTATGTGTCCTTAATAATAATAATGATGTGTTTTTATATAGCTTATAATACGAAATACAGTCTCTAAGCGCTATACCGATATTATTACCCCCGGTCATAGGATTCATTCGCACATAATGTGCACCATCTCCACCCCTTGGTTAGTACTCCTACCATATGGTCACCGTGAGAGCATTTGGCAATTAGTAACACGAAGGCTTACGTCATCATACTAGGTCCCCATTTCTCTCCTGAGTATGAAGTGGCAAATGTGGATTAATGCATTACCAAATGACATTACACACCTTAGACCTACTTACCTTAATTCTAATGAGACTGTGTTCCTATGGTGATACTTACTATTATCAAGTTTGAGGCTAATAAAAGTGCCACTTATGGTTCTTAAGATATCGCGATATCGAGGATAAACCTGTAATTTCAGAAATTAACCTCCGACCTCAAATGGTTCTGTGATCAATGTGATCAATGTTATGGTTATTTTACCTGACTGCTAAGAAAGCATAAATGCTTTTAAGTAAGCAACCAGACGGCCGACGGCTTTAGGTCCTCTCCGAGGGACCTGGTAATGAGGATTAATGCCTTACCAAAGGGCACTAGCGCATCGCCTTTTAAGATATCGCGAAAACGAGGCGAAAACTTTGAATATCAAAAGTTAAACTTTTTGACCTTTGACCTTTAACTTAATTACTCCAAAATCTAATCAGAATGTCTTCCTAAAATGATGACACATCCTTTCATTTTAATAGTTAGAATTTCATATATCAAGAGGTTCTTGAGAAATCGCGACCCGAAAACAACCCGAAAACATAATGCCTATTAAACGACCTCCTTTCCCCTCCTCTCATCTTCGGTGAGAGGAGGGGAAAAAAGTTTGTTTTTAACACACCCTATTTATGTATAATAATACAATCGATGCCTTATGTCAGTAGATGTCTTGCGAGGCCCACTAAGTAGGTTAGTCCTTGGCTATTGGTAGATGTCGTGAAAAAGATTAATTTGGATAGTAAGTTTACTCTACTCCCTGGAAGGCAGATATTGTTAAGCATTATCTTTGTTCATCTCAATGCAAGATATCCTTGGATTTACGAACCTCTATGCTATGTTTTATTATGTTCAGGCACGTTTATGCACACTGTAAGCATTCTGCAACTAGAAAAATTACTTTCTTGTGTAGTATAAGAAATACATTTTGAAAAGTATATGATTCTTACTTTAGAGAAATATCGGTTCCATATGCATGTCATGTATATTCAGGTCCAACTCAACATTTTAAAGAGACATAAACATACATCGCGTCGTATAAGCATGTGTTATATCAAAGCCTTATTCTTAACAACTACTTTTGACATCTTAGATCTTAGATTCAACGAAATTCATTCTAAACAAAAGTTCTGGGCTATCAAATGTTTTTAGTATTTTTTATTTTTTCCAATGAATTAGAATAATACATGTATGGGTTATTACCCCCTCTCCAATATAATGTTTAGTGTTTTATCTCTATTCGCCAAGGGGAAGAAATCAACAAGTACGTCTTTGTTGACTTCATTGTTCTCTTCTTTCGTTTTAACCGTTACAAAGCTACTTTGTCGACTTCACTTGAAAGCATGAATTGGCTTTTATTTCCGTACTTTGAAATAATGTGTGCAAAATACCTTTAGATTTCTTTGACCCACAAGATCCTTTTCTTTCTTGTTCCTCTTTGCATCAAAGGGTTTTCACCGGGCTAGGTATTTGGGTGGGTGGATTTCTCCTCTTCTACCTACTTAAACCCTGTTATCAAATCTGTGTGTTTTTGTTTGGGTGTTAAGCTTGAATGATTTCATTCACTGATTTCATGCTCTGAAGCCATACTTAAAGTGAAGTAGTTTCGGGGGTAAGCATCTCGGTATAATAGCCCTCAAACCCAAGGACCTATTTATACCCTGCATAACGTGCACCCTTACAGTCTCCCGTCACACACCCCTCATCCTAACAGAGATATTAGAAGTGCTTGCTTGACATAAACCAGTTCAAAATAGTCATTTTCTATAACAAAATGTAGTTTATGCAAATTATTTATTCATTCATGTTGGCGTTCTTTACAGAGGAAAGTTAATTTATTACTTCCATCTAAATGATTTTGATAATAGAGAACCCCACATAAACTGATACAAAATACAAAACATGTTAATGACAAAAATGTAACATACGAAATTGACGATACCCAATGGTAGTTTTTGATGCCAAGATTTTTTTTGTTTGGGATTAATAATCGAGGCAGTAAATTCATGGGTTTATTTAGCATCCATCTATGAAATTACATTGGAGGTACATACATTTTGATGAGTTCGACCTTTCAACATATAACATCTAGATATGTCGGTGAGTGATGTTTATAGCACACATTCAAGAACAAGTTGTTGAAACCCTACGCATTTTTATACTCGTTATATATTTTAAGAGAACTTTTCATTTGAAGGAATTGTGTTAAAGAGGTGGCACTTTGGGTGAATGTGTCAACAAAACTGTCACCTCTTTCTCCCAAAGCAGCACTCGACCATCCTTGTCCCACTCATGTGTCTACATGTATCGTGGTAAAACGGGTTTTTGTCTGTGTTCATGCGTAGAAAATCGTCTCCCTTGCCCCGCCCCTCCCCCTATTTTGTCGTGCCAAGAATGAAGGAAAAGGCTTTATATGGGGTGTTGAAGCGTAGAACTCACTCCCTCCCTGACTTACACTGCATGAGCTAGATATTTATACATATTATGAAAGACCATAACATCACGTCTGCTCAAACCCGTCAGGAATTATATCAAAGATGACATCGAAATCTTGGACGTCACAATTCACTTAGCGTTGATTTTTACTCTGTTACTTTGGAAAAAACAAGAAGTTGGTGTTCTTCTCAGACGAAATGGTGATCTAGCTTCAAGAATTGTATTTTATACTGTGAGCTGGATTGTATATGTCTTGATCTGGGATTGACTTATGGGACATATCCACGCTTTAGGATTCTACGTGTCTGGAGACGGATATGCGCGTGATGATCTTATGAGACTTGTCATGTTCAACATTTTTTAACGGATCATTGTGTTTATTTAGCCTCTTGAAAGATTATCAAAAGAGAAGAATGAAGGAATAGCCCTAAGAGATTCAGTTATTTTGGAATCTTTACATCTGGATAAAACGGGTAAGTTTGACAAAATTACCCTGTTTATATTTCACGCAGCTAGGTCATATATCGTAAAAGTTTTAATGAACGATGTTAATGGCTATGAATTGGGGACTGATTGATTAAACTACCTTCTGTAACTTTCATAACACGTTGTTATCGTATGGAAAATTGTTTTGTTAGGTGTTCTAATATACTCAAAAAATATTTTCTATGAAGGTCCCAAACTATGGAATGCATTGCCAGCTATAATCTAAAATATCATGCATGCTCTCAGAACGTTTTCAAGAGACAATACAAAGAAAGGCTTTTAAAATCTTATTCACATTGAGTCACCTCTTGTTTGTTGTTTACCTCAATGTTAATTGGTATATCCCTGGTTTGTATGCTTTATTTAATTTATTATTCGGCTTGGGTCTAATTTCATCCTATGTATTAACTTTACTTCTCATCTTGCCTTATCTCCCCCTCATATCATGTTCCTTCCTCTCCCTATCTGACTGTCTCTGTTTCTCTCTCTCTCTCTCTCTCTCTTCCTCTCTCGTTTCTCTATGGCTCAGCTGTCTATGCATTCTCTCCCCTTGTTGTTGTACACGCAACAGTATACAATGCAATTTATACATTAAAGGTACTATGTCCCTTTTGCAGCCAACCTCAAATGCTGTAGAACTTTGCAGGAATTATGAATATGTCATGTATGTCCTATCTGTGAAATTTAAACCGTTAGCAGTGTCCTCATATTCAAATTATGCAAGGAAACCCGTTTACTTGCTAGACTTCACTGTCAGACACTATTGAGTAACTGACTGGCTTTTTTTCTTCTTTGGTAATAACATACATGAAAAGAGTTGTAAAGGGTACATGAGCATTTATCTACATCAATAACCCACTTCTTGTGATGGCCAAGATTAAACTGATTGAATCTTTGCGCAGCATAAAACGTATGACCATTCGGTACAATTGTCTGAAAATCAAGACTATTACTTTTGGGCTCTATAGCCCTAAAGTCGATTTGACAACTAATAGTCGTTATTTTCCCACTTGAAGACATTTTCAAGCCCCACCTTTTTTAGGGAAGTTATAAATGAGTATTATCTTTCAAATGCAGTTGGAATTAACTTTTTCATTTTTTGGCCTGCAAATGGGACATAGTACCTTTAAAATGGAGTCGAATTTACAAGATCTTTAAATAGATCTTTAATCTGATCCCCACTCAATTTTTGTTCCTTGTGCTTTCAACTACTGATTTACTATGTCCATCTCTTTATATTTGTCATATGCGTTCATACGCAAATTTATGTATCTGTTTTTATATATTGAGTGTATAAATGAATTGAATTGAATACCCCTCCACAAGTAATGATTCCAGCCGACATTAAACCTAAGAAGAGATATATAAAGAATGATCATTACAAACAACAGCGGTGTCATCTTGTTTTCATGAACATAACGAAATACGGTATACTATACTACTGTACTAAAATTGATTGTATTTCACCAAAGTTTTCTAATACAAATTACATAAAATCATGATTTAAACGTATAGACTATCATAATGAACTAAAGGTCATGTTTGCAATGCTTCTATATCATCTTGAAGCATGGTTTTAATGTTTAAAAGTTTATATGGAATGTGCTCCTTACTACAAAATGTTGCAAGGATAACCTTATCCTATTTCTGAGCTGTCATGAGGTTAATCTATTTGCATCTAACAGAAATAAGTGGTTTGTGTCTAAGCTTAATCTGTAAAGTTGACACTATTTCAAGGATATCACACACCGTCCTTCAAACTATTTGTTTAATTACTCGTTATGTTCATTTAAAACTAATTAGTTCATAGAAAGGCAGTGTATGTCGGCCTGTCACTCGCGCAGTTATAGGCTGTAAATAAACACTGCAACTAACGTTATAAATCAATTAAAAAATTGTCATACGTAAACATGTTGTCATATAAGATGAGACAAAAAAACGATTCCCAAATGATGTGCTTGAAGCTTTTAGCATATCCTTTCGGCTTCCCATTTTCGTTCTAAAACTTAATTTTACAAGATGACCTGCCGCCCAATCCCCACTCACGCCCTCAAATAAACAACGGTGGTCTCTGGTATGAAAGTATTTTAAAGTCCTGAATACGCTATCTATTATATCCCTATCCTTATTGGTTAAAAAACCAAATTTCGTTTACTTTTTCGAGGCCCGGCCCAAGACCAGTATCAACGAATTATCTCGCTGTCTTGACCTCTATCTAGCCCCTGAAGTGACTTTAGGCGTAGATACGTCACTGAACTAACAACAGATATTAATGGGTTCGTCACTTTCACACCCAACGGCTCTCTGTTAAAATCTTGATACTGTAGGTGCTCCTTAGACCTCCTTGGTGCTCTTCAGAACATAACTCTATTCCGCATGTCACCTGCTTTTTAGTTGTTGACACGTCGCTACATGGATCGTTATAAGTCGGTATTATTTATCCGTTTCAGTCTCTCTTTCCTCCATTTCTCCTCCTTTTCCCTCTTCTTCAGCTTTTCACCCATTTATCTCTTTTCCTCTTCAGGTCACCATGCAGAAACTAGGGTTATCCGAATCTTCTCTAACATCTCTTTTATTTTTAGTGTCATATATTCAAGTTACACTGGTTTCCTTCCTACTATTTCTTTTCACTTTTCTTCCGCCCCCTCTCATGGGACTTAGAAGTGCACTCAGGGACATCGTCTCTAGGATCCGTACGTTATGAACGACCCAAAATGCAGAGTATGTGTAGATTTATTAGCCATTTATGTTAGAAGTGTTTTACGGTTTGTATAAGGTATACACTAGCTTTATCTCCCCTACCGTTTCAATAAAAGAAATGCATTTCCACCTTCAATGGACGAGGTTATTCTTATCACTGAGCTAGACCTATAGATGCCATTCTTGAGCTTAACAATGTGTTAACACTGCATGTTGAAAAATGTCATCAAATTGTTCAGGTTTTGGGGCGGAAAGCAAGAGCAAGGCAGGGGCGGCGATTTCTTTTCATGACCGATGGGGGGGGGGGGGGGGTGGGGGCGAAATGCGAGGGACGAGTGAACATAAGAGGAGCGAAGGTGACGGAAGTGACTACCCCTCTGGCTCACAGGTGTTCGAAATTTTGTTGTGTAAAGAAATTACATTCCTTTATAGCAATAAACTTTTTTTACACTTAACTTTTATTTTGCCAGTAATTAATGTGCAGTCCGAGGGCCCGGTTGTAAATGTCAGTATAGTAGGTAAATTGAGTAGAAAGTTTTACATTACGGGCGAGAAGTTTTTTTTGAATTTTTTTAAAGTCTAAACGCAACACTTGGGCCCTCCAGAGCCTCAAAGTGTGTTGCCGGTTTTAGTCAGAATTTGCTATTCAATTTGTTTGCACTTTAAAAAAGAAATTCGAGGGTGGACGTGTCTCCCCAGTCCCTCCGGATCACCGCCCATGGGCACTAGGGTATTAGTCTTTATGATATCGGTCATTATTTTCAAGAGTAGTATTGATGCGAGTCACTTCAAAAAGAATCTTAACATAATTACTTGTGATTGAACGACGGAGTCACTACCACATGGCATCACAATAACTGGAATCGTTTTGATGAATTATTTTCTTCATGTAAAACGTACAACAAACAACAGTGTATATAGAGAATTCAGGTAATGTTTCTTTTGTAGTCATTGTTCGATAATTAGACCGACTAATGTTCTGTTGAATACTCCCCCAATGAAACCAAAGCGATGCTCAGTTTGATTGGTGCGAGGCTAGCTACTTGACCCTGACCGTCATGACATCTGTCACACGGACTTTGCCGAGAAAACTTTTCTATCGGATCAGAAAGACGAACTTCAAAGCAAAGAGACAATTAGATTACTAACTACTCCAGTATTAAGTTAGCTTTTTAGATGTACTAAAAGAAGGATATCAACATCTGATACCGCTGTTTCATGCCAATAGAAATGGACATAGTGATCGAATATCAAGCGGACGATTTTTATAAACAAGAGTGCTTTGCAGCCGTTATCGTATTTTACGACTAGATTCACAGTTTGCATCTTCCGTGGATAGTTAGGATCACATTTCCTCATCGTATAACTTTTGTGCCTTTGTTGTGTTTTTTCAAAGTGGAATCGAAATTGCTCAAATCGGATCAAAAAGTGATATATTCGTCGAATGCATGACTGCGCTTGAATCGTCCTCTAGCTACTTTTGTTTAAATTATTTTTAAAAAGGGAACAAACAAGATTACGTAGACGAGCAAAACGGTTCTTGTTCACTTTTGCACATGATGAGAAAAATGATATAAGGAATACAGAGAATAGGGATTTTTTTCTTCTCTGATTCATCAAATCAGAGATCGGCAATAGGTTGGATTACTTGATGTACTTCTTATCAGACATCATAAAGATCACTGATGCAGCTTTATATATTCTTTGCTTATCATTCTGCAGAAAATCATGTCTGTATTCATGGTTATACTGCAGACTAACTTCGTTCTTCGAGTGTTCGCATAAACGAGACATTTTAAACTTCATCGTAACTTCGACGTTAGTAAATTCTTGACTTCATACATAGACCTTCACCATATGGTGCTTCAATACTTGAAGGGAATTAATCGAGATCACTTCCAAGGATAATGTATTAAACGAAACTCAATGAAAATGTTATTTGAAAATACAAGTTGATCTCGCCGAATTAGCTCGTTAGATATCCTTTCAAACTCAGTCGACGTAATTCCACTAGTAGTATTTGGAGCAAGTCATTTATCTCAGTATATTCTCTATGATAACGGAGTAGATGGATACTTCTCAGATGGATCTCATGCGGTAGACTCTATTATCATTTTCCGGATGTAGAGTGTTGTCTTTCTGTTTGTGAGGAGTTGCATTGGAATATTGTCTTTCGCATGTAAGTTGTATTGCTAGCCTCCAGGGTGCTACAGCGGTCTGAGCTCATTCCCGTTCACTCTATATTGGTACGAATCTAGAAACACGGTCCTAACATCAGCCAGTCACT